GCAGCTACTCAAGTACTGTAAAGCTTAACAATTGTCCTTATGTCTTAGACAAGCGTGAAGACTTCTCTTGTCACGTTTTTTTCAAATAGTGACGTGAGATGAACAAAGGCGCAGGAGCATCTATGGTGGAAGAGACATAGAATTCAGAATGAATTATGTTATATTGCATCTAAGAAATTAACATGTCAAAACAGGTCAATATGGCAGTCCTTTTTCAGCCTCTGGCACACTGTTAATTTTTGACCTCTCCATACCATTCTCCGGCATAATGGATTGCTGTTTCTATTGCCGAAAAAAGTTGAACAAAGGTCAACTGTGATACGTGATTCTTCTGGGAGCTTTAACTGAAGTGAATGGGAGACAGAGTAAATATGCTCGGAGGCTAGTGACGATCTTAGTGCACAATAAGGGTGGGAATTTGTTCTGACAATCACATTTCTCGAGGAGGCGTAGATTAGGGGCAGAAGCCTTCAGTTCTCAGACTGCACCTTCATAAGCTCCATCTTTGAAAGGAGTGGTGGTCCCTGAACTGAGACTCAAGTTATAATTCCTGGATCCTGTTATGCAGAGGTAAGGGTAACAACACTGCTACTGTGTCCCAGGGTAATCATCAGCAGAATGACTTTTAGATGTAAGAAACTGCCAGAACCAGTTTTTGCACACCGCAGTCATACTGAATTATTAATTCTGGCTATCTTTTCAAATAGCATTGTTTTTACTGTCCATCAGTGTTTGTAACAAAGCCACGGTGTGTTTTAGTGTACTGTAAGCAGTCATAGACATGCAATGCGTCTGGTAAATCAGTGTAGGGAGTGATTTGAAGCCTGGTACTTCTCCTCTCCTCTCCTATTTTCTTATTTTCTTCTTTATTTTTAATAAACTATGCCTCTTAATATCCTGAGGCTAACACTTCCCTAACAAAGCAACAGTCAGCCATCACAGCTGATCGCTGTTCCTTGACCCAACAGCAAATCCTTTCCATGTGACCTCTATTTTGCAGCCTAGATAAGGGTAAAGCAGCAGCCTGAACTGAATGGGTTGCCTCGTTTAACACAGGACTATTAAATCAGTGCTAGGTCAGTGTTCATACTTGCTGTTCTTATTCATTACATAACAATAGCTTATTTTCTTGCAATGAGTTTTCTTTGGACTGGCTCTGAGACACCTAACCCTGTATATAAGTAAAGACCAAAAATTAGAATAAGAATCAGGCTTCAAGTATGTGTACACATACAAGGAATCTGAATCTGGGTTGAAGTTGCTCCTAATGTACTTGCACACAGAACAAAGCAGAACAAAGACAGGTAAAAGTAAACATAAAATGATTATGCACATCCATCCATCCATCCATTATACCGCTTATCCATGCAGGGTCCCGGAAAGACACACACGCTGAGACAAAAAACCACATACTCACGTTCACACCTAAGGGTAATTTAGAGTCACCAATTAATGTACCTGCATGTCTTTGGACGATGAGAGGAAGTTGAAGCTCCCAGAGAGAACACACTTTTGTACATACATGTAGGTGAAAAATAGGTGTATATAAAAATATATATTAAAAAGCAACAATGACCAAGACAAGTGTTCAGTAGATTGTAAACAATAGAAATAGTGCAAAGAGGGAAATATTGAATGAGTGGGTAGCATTGGATTTAAGATTTGAAAGTGGAAAAAGTACTTTACTTGAACAGCCATATAAGAACCGCTGGCAGTTAATAACCCTTGTCAAAAGCAAGGGATTCCCCCGCAGAGGCTATGAACACCATCTGGGTCTCACACAGAGCATGGTAGTAATGTAACCTTAGCCAATTTGCATGGAGACCTCCTACACGTCTTCCACAGCAGGGTGGTGGAAAACTTTATCTTGATGAGTCAATCTTTTACATACATGTTTTTCTCCCACACAGGGGCAGACGGATAGAGATATGCAGCTGAGCACTTGCGTGGGTTGGGCACGTCCACTGGCCATGTCAACTTTAGTAGTGAATATATATATAGAGAGAGAGAGAGAGAAAGGGAGACATACTCAGAGAGGGAGAGAGAAAGAGACCCCCATAAGGCCAGCAGGCAAAATTGAAGCTTACGTAAGCTGTGTAGTTTCATCATCATCATCAGAGGCCTCATCATTGCTGTAACAGCCAGAACTGGTTCATTTGTCTCAAGCTTCCCCCTACTGCAGAATAATGAATTCTGAATGATCATGGACACTGGCAGGTGGCAACAGGGTGGCAGGATGTTTTGGCAGTTTGGCATGTTGAGGTCATTGGTCTCTCTAAAGAGGATGTCCCTTAATCGCGCTGTTCTTTTTGCCATGTGCTGTCATGCTGGGGTGTGGGCTTATGGTGTGGTAATAAATTACTGTGTTTTTTTTTTCTAGAGCTGCAACGATCAAAAACATCAAATTAAGTGGCAAGAATAATCTATTACTTGTTTGTCATTTTTAAAGCAAACAATTCTAGCTTCTCCAATATTAGTGTTTTTCCTTAAAATAATTTAAGGCATTCAGTGACATCACCTTGGGAAATGATGAAGTTGCAATTAAGTTCTTTTTTAGGATTTTAAATGTTTCAGAAATAACAAATGATACAGAAACATCACCAGTGTAGCTCAGGGTTTGGTTATCTGATACCAGAAATACGAGTTCCCACAGCAATAACATGTCAGGAGGACATTCACACTATTTACATGTCACTGTAAGCTTTATATCATTGACTGTGTTGCCAGTTTCTTCTTTTAAATATCAACTTGAGCAACTGTGAACCACAGAGTGGATTCTTGCCTCCACAGACAGCTTGAATGACAGAATAAAAGGCTGTCGTTAGTGCATGACAGTGACACACACCCCTCCAAGGCTGTGGAAGCGTGACTGGCAGACTGATTTGTTGGGTCTCCAGAGATGGAGATGTCTGAAGAGGGAGGCTGGATAACACAGATGTGTTTGTTTTCAAACAAGAGAAAAAAGTCACACTCAAAAGGTCTGTAGATGAAGTAAAGTGAATGTTGTTACTGTGTGTTACTGGATCCATCTGCTGGCATCATGCAAAAATGTTAGTCACGAAAGCTTTTTACAATATTATACAATTATAATACACACAGGGTGACAAAATGAGCATAAAGCAAGTAGCATGCATACAGATCCATGCACACAAAAGCATGAACACATAAGCACACAGTTTATGTGAAAATGCTTACACTTACATTCATACACACACACACACACACACACACACAAACATTAAAACACTGGTGACATGAGTCAAAGTGTCAGCTCATGGAGTCCAGTGGGAGAAGGCACAATGTGTGCTGAGTAGGATGTAGCACGGTTACACAACCACAGCTGGTCAGCCTGGCAAAGGTCGATGCTGGAGGTAGACTTAAGGACAGATGCTCTCTTATTTTACATAACATGTCTTTATTGCCACGCACTGAAATAAAAAAAATCTCAGTAGCATCACATGTTGCTATCTAGGGGCTTTTTAGAGATTTGCAAGGTTTGCAACTGTTGACTTCTCATTTTTGGACACCTTCTGCCCATGCACGAGTCTCCAATAAAAGAGTAACTGCAGCTGAAAGATGGTACTTGAGTAAGGGACATGTTGACAAATGCTTACCCTAACCTTTACGCTTAAAACCAATGCCAACACCCTGAAAGCAAATCAGAACACCTGTGAATCAAGGATACTGTATGTACCATAAGTTAGATACATCTGCAAACATGCAAATGCTGTGCACAGATATTTGCAAGGGCCCAACATACTTTACTTACAGTAATGTTAAAATGTGGAATTGGTTTGGGAGCACTGTTGCAATCAAAACCAAAGATTAACCAAAGTCTAAAATGTTGTAAACAAATCCTTTGCTTAGTCAGACAGCTAATGTGATGCAATTAGTAGAACTCTTCCTTTGTTGTCAAATTTATTTTTAAACTGCATTTCTGTATTTTGATCATCACTACTAGAGATCAGAATATAATGAGAGCTTTTTCTTTGCCTAAAAGTAAAGTGGGAATAGAAATGAAGACAAACGAGAAGGGTAAAGAAAATATTGCAATGAATAGTATGCATTGACTGTAAATGACAGCAGGTTACTAACACAAGTTTGATAATTAGTTAATTTCCTGTAGGGGAGACTCTATATTAGAGCATTTTTGCTAGTGATGGGCTAGGCCTATGCAATGATATATGTAGATGACACAGCAAGGATTGTGATTAATGTTAGCTAAGTTAGATCATTTATATAATGTAAAATACATAATTTATATTGTTCATAGTAGATTATTATTGTGCTTTCTTGCCTGATTCACTCGCAGCTGTACCCATACCGGCTTGCTCTTTCTGAACAGCCCTAACATTAACATATGTGCTGAAAGGAAGTGGGCAGTGCTTTATTGTCCTATGTGTCTATGGACAACGACAATTTCACAACCAGTCAGATGGTAAAAGACTAAATACATTTAAAAAACACGTCAGGAAATGCAAAGGTGCTGCTGCTACTTCTACCACCACCAGTAGAGACACCATGGAGAACCGTTGACTGTTATGCCATTAATTTTCTATTTATCTTGCATTAGGAAAGTGAAGTGTATATTCTGGCACCTGAGCGCGTAGTGAGGCACACATCACCAGATAGCTAAACACTCTTGATTAACTTGACTGAAAGTAGCACTAGATGGCTTCAATGACACTCCTGACTCATGACTGATTGAAGCCATCTAGTGCTACTTTCAGTTGGTTATCATTGTGCACTTGTATGTCCGTTTATTGAAGACAGCACTCAAAGTGGTCAAGTTTTTGTTGAAGTGTTGAAGATGTTGAAGCTTCTCCCAGGTTAACACAGGCAGATGGAACAAGATGAAGTGAGGACTTGAAGCACGCTGTTCTCTAGCTTGTTTACAGGGAAATGCCTGAACTGACCATGTGACTACAATCATTGTGACTATTAACATTAACAGCCTATTAACAGACTATTAACAGCCAATGAGAGCGCACACATCTAAAATGACGCAAACAGGTGACATTTACTTAATGGCCTACAGGAGGTGCTACAAACACTTGAACAGAATGAATGCATGTAACATTACAGTGTGAATGAGTTAGTGTACAAATCACAAGATTGAGAGTTTGTGAATTGGTCATTTCGAATCGCTTTGTTCCATGTGTCTAGCCTAGCTCCAGCAAATTGATGGGTCCAATTTTTTATTGTATCAATGATCTATAAACATTTGAATCACAGATGCATGGTCCGGACAGCCACTAGGCTTGTATGTGGGCCTAACTATAATTTATTTATTGTACTCAAGGGCTCTGCTGAGGTGATAACTTTACTTGAGGAGAGCTAGTGTTTCTAGCTTTGAAAATGTATTTTAATGGCTTATTTTTGTGAGGTATTGTACTAAAAGGTCACCAAAGACCCAGAGACCCAAGAAATGTGCTGACAAGGGACACATTTCCGGGCTTTTCTTTGCTCTACTCTGCTGCTGCCTCAGGGAATCTCCACTTCTTCGCACTGGCATTCAGAGAATGCATAGACTTGTTACCTAACCTGTTGCCAGCTTTAAAACAGTTGTATCCATTAAGTTAAGGTTGCCAAACAGTACCAAGCAACCACAAACATCTCTATCTCAATTATCTCTTCTTAAGCATTTTTACATTGTATGACTTTATTGATAGGAAGCAGTAGGCACAACAAGAAATGAGGGGAGAGAGGGATGAGGAATGACCCGCAACAAGCACCTCCGGCCCAACACAAACTGCATACTACATAAATTAGATTTTTTTCAAAAATATTTAAGATACAGTGCTGCATTAAAAGACAGTTGAAGTGAATGATAATTATGTATTTTTTTTGGTATGTGCCTTGTTTTGGTGGACAGCGGAGACAGAAAACTCTCAGAGGGTGTTGGACAATGATTCCGCCCAGCACCTGAAGCTGAGGGAGAGACAGCGCTTTTTTGAAGAGGTCTACCAGCATGATGTGGACAACTACCTGCCCTCAGCTCACCTGCAGATCGACTGCAGAAAACGTGAGTGAAAGTCTCTTCTTATGTGCCATTCCCGGTGGCAACAACTTTTGTTTGGGATTTTTTTTATTATCTGATTCAACACTCTTTACAGGTTAAAATACATTTATAGCCAGTGTTGAATTGTCACTATTTATTAACATAATTAAACCAGACTTGAACATTTACCAAACTATGATTCAGTTTCACTCAAAAGCTGACTCAACTTTTATATCTGTCTGCAAATCATATATCAATATAGGCCCTGTGATGTACAGTACAGTGTCAACATTCAAATGAAATGTATCGCATTTGAAATGAACAGAGTGTATCTATATCATATCTGCTGTTCTGCCTGTATATGCAGCCCCCATGGGAAGTATATCTTCTATGGAGGTGAATGTGGACGTCCTAGAGCAGATGGACGTGATGGACATCTCTGACCAGGAGGCCCTCGACGTTTTCCTAAACTCAGGCTCAGGAACAGAAGAGGAAGCGCTGGCATCTCCACTACCAGGTGCACTGATGGCCTCTGAGCTACAATTGACCCACTGCAACTGTACTTTTTCAAGCCATTCTTGTAATCACCTTTCACTGGCAGATTTTACAAAAGCAGGCCACTTAAAGGTTGGGTAAGCGATTTTAATACAGGTCTTTTTGTCAAATTCAGTGAATATCTCCTCATAGTCCTCTAGCTGTCTGTTTTCTGTGTGCGCTAGCATTAAATTCAGCTTACTTTCTGGTTCACCAAGACATGCTGTTGCAGTGATGTTAGCTATAGTGTCCGGAAAGTATAAGATTATTATTTCAGATTCAGGACTTTTAAAGTTTGCACCATTTCAGAAATCCCCAGACTGCTGAACATTACAGGTTTCCCCACTGACAATTTGTGGTTTGTCAAAACTGCAGATGAACACCTCAGAGTCAGCTACAAAACAGCTCTGCAACCTTTTATTAGGGAAATAAATTTTCCAACACATTTGCGTAAATAGCAGTCTTTAAATTGAATCTGCAGCTTTAATTGCATTTCCATGTAGATGTTCCTACAGGGAAATATTGTTTTTATAGTGAACAGTGGTGCACCATGCTGAAACAGCTAGAACAGGTGAACTGCAGACACATTCTAAACAGCTTCTGCTTACAGAGGGGGAGGATGAAGAAGAAGAAGAGGAGGATGAAGATGCAGAGGTTGTCTACAGGGAGCATGCACCTTTGAAACGGCAAAATGAAGTTGACTCAAAGTCTCGCATGTCCTCCACATCATCTGGTTCCAGTGATACCAGCGGGGGTGGAGTCGACACACCTGTGATCCAGTCAGATGATGAAGAAGTCCATGCCGACACTCTGCTGCTGACCTCTGTTCCCCATACCAGGGATGAAGAAACAGAGGAGGAAGAAGAGGAGGAAAGATGCCTTGCAACTAAATCTTCATAAAGACTGAATTTTCTCTCAGTAGAGAGGGTAAAAGGAGTCGGAGAGCTCTCCATCTCCCCGCCTCTCTACTTTGCATTGCTTTCTTTTGTGGAAAAACCTTAGCATGGTTGATCTGGCTGTGACTTCCTGTGTCTTTTGAATGTTTTCCCGAATACACTGAATAAACCTCTTCTCTATTTTTCCTAGTAACTTTGTTGAAATTCATGGCAATGGCGACATTCCAAGTTTCCTTTCACATATGCAAATGATATGACTCATCCTGCTCCCATGCACTAACTTGTTCTGGCTGAGATTAAACTATTGTCAGTTCAAGTGCCAAAGGGAAACGTTCATGCCCATTTTGTGTCTTGAAAGCGCAGGTGCCGAACCGCATGTAAAACAAGAAGGCTATAAAGCATCTTTGATTTACAGACTTTCTGGGTAGAACACAAGTACAACAACAGAAATAGAGTAAAGTCATATTCAGTGAACACATGGACAAAAATACAGAAAAGGGAAATCCAAGGCAATCTGTAAAAAGTAATCAAAGCTTTTTAACTTTTACCGGACCTGAACTAACTAACTTGGATTTTCCTCTTCATTGAAGATTACATTAAAAGTGTAGTGAGCTATTAAGCCTTTTGTTCCCTGAGCATGCTTTTACTTCTTTGTCTACATTGTGAAAATAGCTTTGCAGTGACAATTAAATTCTTTAAGACTTCAGACTGATAGCTGTTGAGTGAATGGCTTAATGGGTCATGTGACTGGACAAAGGAGTTCAAAGGATTAAATATGTTGTTTAAGTGCGGGGCTCATGCATCTTCTTTTGTGTTTTCAGAAAATCCAGTGAGCAAAACCAAAAGTTTTATCTTTTTGACAACATGATCATGAATTTTTTGCCGTTTGAATGTGCAAACTATTTACAGTATCATCAATGGAACTGTGTTTGTAAATGCATGCCATTTTGTTTGTTAATGATTGCTTTATGTTTTCAGTTATGTAAAACTACAACAATACTGAACTATGCAGGTAACACCTGTACTCTCTCCTCCATGTGAGATGTCATTTGAGAGTTGGATATGTATGACCATGTAGAGAGTGAGTGATTCAGTTGACAAATATGTCTTTGTTTATGTTCTTTGTATAATATGTGTCTGTTTGCGGGAGTGTGACTATGTGGGTGTGTGTCTCTGAGGGTGTGGCTGGTAAACATTACAGGTATACCCCTACTTTCAAAACAACATTTTTACAATGTTAATCATTATGTGTGTATCTCTTGCCCATTTGAAAATCTTACTATGAACGAAATAAAAATGAAACAGAAGTTAAAACTGTTTATTTTACAATTTACAATTTACTGTATGTTTGCCTGTGTTGTCTGTCTTTCACTCACTTGCTATTGGTTTCTCTTTGGGTTTTTCTCATACTGCATTGTCCTGAGCATGTCTCAACACCACCTTCCTCTCTGCTGCTGTTTCTAGACCTCTTTCTAACTGAGTAGCAAATAATTAAATGTAACAAACAGTTGGCAAAATAATTTACAATGCTTTGAAGGTCTGCTGACTGTATAGATAAAGTTTTTTTGAAGTCACTCTTAAAGCGATACTCACGTGTCCATATGTACATGTGTGCTTGCAGTAATCAATACTTCTGTTTATTCTAGATGTTATGAAGGAGCTTCACACCAGACAACTTTTGAAGATCCAATATACCCTACCTGAAATGCCAATAACTTGAGAAAAACAGGAAACGTCTGAAAGAAAAAAAAAATGCTAACAGGCTAGCACTGGCCCAGCCTGTTTTGTAATACCACTTAGAAGGCCCACACATGTTTCAACAACATCATCACTTACATTGAAATCGCTTTGGGGGGTGGGGGGGGGTCTTCAGGGCCAGTATGAACATGAAGGATGATTACAGCAAGCAAAGCCTGATTCAGTGCACCATTAATCTGGGAGCACACCTATTGTTTTAAGACTTAAATAAAGCCAAACATTGAGTTCACTTGTATGATAGAGTGCAAAAATAATTTCCACACATGGAACATTTTAATGTAATGTCACAAGGATATGCAGTACGGATGAATATGGGCAGTTATCCCTCTCCTCTCTGTGTTCCAGTTCTTCTGGTTTTACAAGTGTACGTGTTGTTTACTCTCAGCATTTGCTTAGATGCTAAAGTTCGTGGAATAGTTTGCCTGCTGACAAACAAGACGCTGCTTTTTATCCTCTCCATGACACATTATGTTTCTCTTGAGCTTCCACTTGGCAAAGAGCTTGCACATAGTCTCTTAATCACAGACTAGTGAGTTGCTTTGACCCACAGACACAGAGATTTTAACTCAACAATTATCAACACAGTGGGGAGCATACTGAGATCTCTGTACTCTGGGCAGGCCACAACTTGCATGTTCTACAACCTGACCACTGACTTGACTTGACTTCATCCACAGGCCTACAGGTCTGGGATGCACCATGTCTCATTCCTTCTACTGCAATAACAACGTCCGACAGGAATTATGTGGTAAAACCCATCACCATGAACTCTAATTAGCGCTTAATGTGGCATGGCCTACAGGTTCCAGGTATACTGAAAAACACAATTGGCTGTGGTGTGCTGACTGAACGTTAATCTCTGAAATAAGTTCATAAAGCCCTCCTAAACCTTCAGAGAAATCCTTGTTTCCCTCAAGTTAATCTGTCGCTAACTTTCCTTTTACCAATGACCTTTAGTGTTCTGCCTCCTCTAACCAAGACCAACCACTCATATGCTTCCACAACTGGAGCAAATCCGTCTGGCCCAACACCTCTAAGCCTGATTAGTTTAATTACAGTGCCTCGGGAACTACAAGATTGCATACCTGGGACTACTCAAAAGTCTTTCTAGAAGCATATTCAACCTTTTGCTCCAATACTGTCAATATAAATCCCAGGTTACTTAAAGCTTTCATTATCTCAATAACCCATGTCTTCAGATTCCAATCTTACTCAGTTATCAAAGCAACTGAAAATCAGTGTAAAGCTGATGATACACAGAGCAACTTTTAGAGCAATCGTGAAGGGCAACGTTGCCGTCAGTGGTAATTGTAAAGCTTCAGTTCCTGTAATGTCAATTCTGCATGAAGCACCGATATATATAAGTCTGAAGTCAAATAGGTCATCGTCATCATGAGAATAGACAAACTTGTACTGTATCAGGTAGCAGAATCAGCATTGGATCTTCAAAAGAAGGTGCAAAATGACAGAAACAAAGTGTGAACTAGCTCACTTTTTACATCACAAATGTCACATAGGAGAAACGAATCTTATAACACATTCTGGCTTTACTGAATCAAACAATTACTTCAGTAGAACGTAATAAACTTTAGTCTGCTGGCTAAACATGTCCAACTGTAAGTGGCATTGCGTGACAAAACAAACAAATATTACGTTGCCCTGAGGCTAAATCAGCAGGGAGGAGCTCTCCTCTTCATTTTCTTGCCAAGAGTTTTATGTCTCTCTATCCTCACAGCATCTGCTGAGTTAATATGAAATAAAGTTGTATTATATTCCCACACTTTCAAGACACGGACTAGAAGAGCGGGTGTGCATTTCTTTTTTCAAGACTAGAACATCCTTCTACTGAATTCAGATTTGAACATTATACGTAAGGGATGATTAGTTTTTAAGATCACAATACAGTAGTTTATTAATGCATATGCATCAGTGTGAGGAGTGTGAAGTGGACTTTGATGAGAAACGAATAATTTTAAGCATACTTTCTCTGAATGTTGTGCCCTAAACCCCACCTGTAAAACTGTAAAACATGCCCCAGGGCAGATCTGGATGTTTAGCATCTGCCTTACACAAGACGGAAGAACAAGATAATCTCAGAACATGAGAGACCGGAAACACTGCACTCCATGACCCTCTGTGACACATGGCTGTTTCTACATGTCTCATTTTAACTGGGTGAAATAAACAGAATATAAATATGAAGTGATCAGTAAAGAACATGAAAATGTACAATATTTGTAGCAAAAATAAATCTTCCTTCGTGATGTTTTGCAAAACAGAAATATTCTTAGTCTTTACTCAGACACTTACACCACTGTCAGCATGGAGCTTCATAGGAAAGCTTGCAATAAAAAAGATATAATTGCCCTCTTATTAAAAAAGAAATTCCAATGAAATTGGGTGAGGAACTTAGCCTGGGTATAAGACAGTTTTTTTTCTTTGGACACAATCCATCTGCCCATTTTGATGATTTTACAGCATTTATTAGACTGACAAATGTAAATGAACCAACAAAAACAGGGAAGCTGCATGAGCTGCATGCAAATGTGGATTCAGTTTTAAATAAAATCAGAAAATAACTCATCAATAGTGAAAATAATTATTATAAATTATCATTATTTATGGAAAATAAAACCATGACATTGAAACAAGGTGATGGATTTTTTTTTTTTCAATGAGGGTTCAGGGGTCTGCTCTTTTAATACATACTCAAGTACTTTGGAATTGCCAACCTCTGAATTGATGGGAGCTTATACTTATAACCTCTGGCATCTTCCCTGCTCACAATGAAAGACATTACATGGATGGAGAGCCTCAAAGATCTGCCAATTGACATTGCTTGGCGAGCTGGACCCAATCAAAATTTAAAAAAAAAAAAAAGTTTTGTTGCATGTAATTTAATCCTTGGACTCATCCATGTCAGTTTGAAGTGATGTGACATTAAGACAGAACAACAGAAGAAAACACACAAATCTAAAACCAAATGCTGTCCACATCCAATATGTGTATAAGAATGTGCATGTGGAAGAGGACAAGATATTCTGTGACTGATAGCTGGTTAAATTAGCCTGGGAGGGAAGTATTACTGCACCAGTGGGTTTCAATTGTCATTTCAGTCACTTTAATACTTTCAGGGCCTATGAAACTGAACTACATTTGCATGTGATGTAGGTCAGACATAAATAAGACATGGTAACCTGAGCCATCGAGTTGGAGGGGTGTACACCTGAGCCAAGCCGCAGGCAGGAAGCCCAGTATTAACTTATACACTCCCAAAATATTTAGATATAAAAACAAATACATAGATGAGTGTGCACAAAGCACAGCTCCAACTGGTTTTGTCCTACACACAAATTGTATGTATAAACACCACATCTAACATCGCGACTTCACACATATCTGCACACATGAAACAAACAGCCCTCTGTTAACTGCAAAGTCAGCCAACCTGCTGCCTGCAGGCATTGTGGGCTGTCTTCAGCGCTACTCATTTTCAAGCTGACTTTGACTCTTTTGGAGTATTCACACCGAGGATTTCAAGCAGAGCGGCTCAAGATGAGGACCATTGCCCTCT